AATATTATTGGTCAATTTATAGAGTTTTCACTTTAGTTTTGTTGTGGTTATTGTTGCAAATCACCATTCTTATCATTATATTTAAAAATGGCCCACTCACCAACTACGGAGAAATAGTTAGACAATGGAGATAAATCCCATATCAGCTTTTCGTCCATTTGTCTTTAATAATTTACTAATCCAACATAACATTATAAAAACCCCAATCAAACGAACAAAAAAAAACACATTCCCAGAAAAAGCAAACGTTACAATTTGAAACAAGTCTTTTTTTTGTTGTTTTCATTTTTTTGAGAGAAGTAAGAAGAATTAGAATCTCCACACAAATGGTGCTCCAACAACAAACGCTTTTTCTCACAAAGAAGAAGACAACAACAGATCAAGAACCTTCTCATGATTTCATTTTCCGATCTAAACTTCCCGATATCCCCATCCCTAACCACCTTCCTCTCATCGACTACGTCTTCCAGAACTTCTCCGGCGACTCCTCCGCCACTTGTCTCATCGACGGTGCCACCGGACGTATCTTTTCATTCGCCGATGTATTTACCAATACACGGCGTATCGCCGCCGGGATCCACCGGCTCGGGATCCGCCACCGTGACGTCGTGATGCTTCTCCTCCCGAACTCGCCGGAGTTTGCTCTCTCATTCCTCGCCGTCGCGTATCTCGGAGCGGTCTCCACCACGGCGAATCCGTTCTATACTCAGCCGGAGATCGAAAAACAGGGGAAAGCCTCCGCCGCTAAGATGATCATCACTAAGCCATGTTACGTCGATAAACTAACGAACCTTAAAAACGACGGCGTTTTGATCGTTTGCGTAGGAGAAGATGGAGACGACGTCGTTTCGTTACCTGACGGTTGCATGAGTTTCAAAGAACTGAGTCAAGCCAGCGAAACAGAGCTTCCTAAACCGGAGATCTGGCCGGAGGACACGGTGGCTATGCCGTACTCATCCGGGACCACGGGGCTTCCAAAAGGAGTGATGATCACTCACAAGGGATTAGTGACGAGCATTGCTCAGAAAGTAGACGGAGAAAACCCTAACGTAAACTTCACCGGAGATGACGTCATCCTCTGTTTTTTACCGATGTTTCACATTTACGCTCTCGACGCGTTGATGCTCTCGGCGATGAGGTCCGGTGCGGCGTTACTGATCGTGCCGAGGTTCGAGCTGAATCTTGTGATGGAGCTGATTCAGAGGTACAAAGTCACGGTGGTTCCGGTGGCTCCTCCGGTGGTTTTGGCCTTTGTTAAGTCCCCGGAGACCGAGAGATATGACCTGAGCTCGGTGAGGAAGATGCTTTCCGGCGCAGCTACGCTTAAAAAGGAGCTTGAAGACGCCGTGCGTCTCAAGTTTCCCAATGCCATATTTGGTCAGGTCAGTTATAATTAATTTCCTCACTTTTACAATTATTTTGTTATTTAATGTTAATGCATTGAGACATACGAACTCAAGTAAAATCGTCAAAATCCGAGAAATACCACTAGAGAATGGATTAGAGGATGTGATTAGGTCACATATGATTCATGTGGTACTTAGGAAAGTGAGTTAACGTGATTTTAATTTGTCGTATTCGTATAATATAGTTAAAGAAGCAAAAATGGTATTTTTTTTTTGCTAAATGAAGCAAGAATGGTTAGAAGAATGCTTGTGGTAGGTGAAGATTTGTCTCTTGCCTACAGAAATGAGAGTAATCAAATGAGAATTTTTTATGTATAGAATCTATAGACACACCAAAAAATTCGTGGTCTAAATATTTAAGAAATGGATTAGTGGTGGTTCACCAAATCTTAGTTTTAAAACTATTTATGTCAGTGTCTAGATCCTTGGTGTCACCAAATTTTGAATATTTTTATTTAGTGATAGAGTTCCAATATATTTGATTTTTGTGCTGGACATTTATTGATTAACTATCGTTGTCATTCTTCACTATACAAGTCAGTCAATAGATGAACGTTAAGTGTCTCTTGGTGGTGGGTAAACGAATTATAAAAGAGAACAAGAAAATATGTGTACTCTTATTTTGGAATCACAAATCAGAAGACAAATCCAAATTCTTTGATCAATATATTTTATTCTATTTAAAAGCTAAAGACCAATAGTCAGCTCCCACATTGAGACGAACAAGTAGAAGAATTATTCATTTTTGGTCAAATTTTACCATTTGGAGTAGACTTTGAGACATGCACGAGTCTGAAACCAGTTTGTTTGGTTTTGGTTGTTTGATTGGTCCAATTTCACTAAATTACTTGATTATTGTAGAATTTTTTCATGAGATTTATTTGAGTTTCAACTCAAAAGATATGATAAACTATCCACAAAGATAATTGCTTTTAACATCCATATTTTGCAATTCATATAATCATATCAAAAGATGAGAAGATATAATCATAAACAAATAAAAATATATATCATTTTGAATGGAGATTGGGTCACACACACTAACACGCACGATAGTGTTTGTGATTAAAAAAACACACTTTAACCCCAAAGAGGCTACTTTCTCTTTTCTATGTTGCTTTTATACAGTGAAATGAATCATTGAATTAACACATGGCAAGGAAACAAGATGATACTATTTTCATTTGACGTAATTAAGAATATACTTATATAAGTTTATAAAATTGAAGTATGTAATGATTTTTTTGTTTGTTTGTTGGGTTTCCGTTTAGTCCATTGCTGGGGACACATTCATTACTCGTCTCTTTATACGAATCACCCATCCAAATGAATCTTATAGCGCATTTATTAAGTATTTGGGTTGACTTATTGATTTGACAAAAAAAAAAAAAGAGTATGACTTAGTGATGGCTTTGTGGGATCATCACAATACAAGAAAACTTTAACAATTCCTATCAAATTTAATTCAATAACAACGACCAACGCATGTGATAAACCTCACTGTGACATTGTCAATTTGTCATACAATAACTTTTTGTTAACTTAATTACAGTTTTCAGCTGAGCTTCTTTAAATGATTTCGGTGCCGTTTCTCAGTACGGATGTTGTTATGGTGGACTAGGTCAAATGTATTCGTTGTTCCACGTTTTTTTTTTGGTAATGACTAAAAAGTCTAAAATCCAAAATGAAATAACATTTTTCAGGGTTATGGAATGACCGAGTCAGGGACGGTGGCTAAATCATTGGCGTTTGCAAAGAACCCATTTAAAACCAAGTCCGGCGCGTGTGGGACTGTGGTCAGAAACGCCGAGATGAAGGTGGTCGATACCATAACTGGAATCTCTTTGCCTCGCAATAAATCTGGCGAAATCTGCATCCGAGGCGATCAGCTCATGAAAGGTAATAAAGCAGCTAAATACTCAAGTTGTGTCCGATTTGTTTTCCGTGGAAGAATACTGAAATTAAATGGTGCAATGTTTTCAGGTTATTTGAATGATCCAGAAGCTACGGCGAGAACCATAGATAAAGACGGTTGGTTACACACCGGAGACATTGGGTTTGTGGATGATGACGATGAGGTCTTCATTGTTGATCGGTTGAAGGAACTGATCAAATTCAAGGGCTATCAAGTGCCTCCAGCTGAGCTTGAAGCATTACTTATTTCTCATCCATTTATCCACGATGCTGCAGTTGTCGCGTGAGTTAAAAATGAAAAAGAATCTGAATACATCCAATTCCCGAAACTCTAATGTTCATTATTTCTAATGATATTTGAATATTCAGAATGAAAGATGAAGTAGCTGATGAGGTCCCGGTAGCGTTTGTAGTTAGAACGGAAGGGTCTCAGCTAACCGAAGATGATGTCAAGAGTTATGTCAACAAACAGGTAAGATTTTGAGGCTTCACTTTCGGCCTTTAAACGCGAAAAAGACAAAGAGAGAAACTTTCAGATGTCTTATATCAACTGTGTGATGATTTGTATAGGTGGTTCACTACAAGCGAATCAAGATGGTGTTTTTCATAGAAGCCATACCCAAAGCAGTGTCGGGCAAGGTTTTGAGGAAGGAACTCCGAGCTAAATTGGAAACTGAATACCCTAAATAAACACGAGTTTCGAATGTATGGCAATTCGAACAATTATTTTAAGAGCAAGTAAGAAGCAATTATTTGATATCTGATTTGGATTCGAGACATCAATCCTGCAAGTCACAAGAGCTTTTCTACACTCATGTGACCGAGTCTAAGGGAGGTTAAGAACTGTTTTTTTTTTAAGGAGCTTGGTGGTTTCTATAGAGGGGAGTGGGAGGAACTCTGTTATCAGTCTATAGGTCTTTGTAATTTCAGAAGTCTGTATTATGTAATGCTAGTTCCGATATTCTGTTTGTATCCATAACCTAAAGCTAAGCTACCATCAAAAACTTAATTTATTTCCTACAATCATTTCACGATCCTCTCAAGAAGAATTTCAACTCTTTCAGTCTAGAGAATGAAGGACCAGAAACATACCCGCTTAAGCGACAATGAGATGGAAGTGGCTCAGCCGAGAAGTTTAATGTGACTAGAAGGCGACATCAATTCAAGCCGCAACAGATTCCTCCACGCGCTGGCAAGTGAGGCTCATCTATAAATTCCATATTTGTACTAAAAAGGCCAGGGTATATGAATGTTTCTACATTTCACTTTCATGATACAACTCCAACTAATTCATGAGACTGGAATATGGAAACATTCGTATACAACTCGAAGCGGGTACAATTACAGATCTTTAAGTTGAGAGCCTAAGAAGGGAAAGGAGACAACATCACCCCAAAAGTGAAAACTTGTAAAAGCTATCATCAGAAGTATGTTAGAACCTTTTGTTCATGTTAATGACCAACATAACAAACAATAACCGGTCATAATGTAGACACTTGAATTAGATCACACTAAAAGCATCAAGGCAAGATTAGAAGAAACTAAGGGAAAAGCTGAGGTTTTCATGAATGCTCAAAGATAGAAAGAAATGAAACCTTTATGAAATTCTACTAATTGGAAGAGAGAATCACATGATCCCCGTCAAAAAAAAAAGGGTAACAAAACAAGCTTTCAACTTTTTCCCACAATTATTAGACAATCAAGACCATAAATGGCAAAGAAAAAAAAAACAGAAAGCAGTAGTAACCTTTATAATGATTCTCAATACCGAAACTATAAGAAGCATAATAAAAGAAGAAGCTTTTATTAACGGAAAATTAACAAATAGAAGATCCTCCATTACTTCCTGATATGAAACTCTACAAACAAAATCCAGCCAAAGTCATCTTCCATTCATAAACAACCATAAGAATTCTTCTTCTCCCTTTTTCCCATTTCTAGCAAACATTCTATCATTACCACAAGGACAAATCGAGTATAAGAAGACTCACTCAATAAACCCTAAACACAAACCTCCACAAACTGAGTTTCTTCCCTGACGAATCATACCCCAATCACAACCACCTTGTATGCAAAACTTGTTGAAAAATTGTCAGGAAAGCAAAAGATTCGATGAAACAAAAACAAAAAAAAGAGTAAAAGGGATAAAACTAGGAGGTCGGAGAAGAAGAAGAAGATGACGGTAGAGGACGAGGCGGCGGCAAGATTTGACGAAGGTTTGGTCCTCCGGTTGCTTTGAGTATGAAAGGATGCTGCAAAAGCTGTTGAGCAGACCATCTTTTAGGAGGATCACTCTGTAAACAACAAGAAACAAAGTGACGAAACTCTTCAGTCGCAGTCACCGGAGCTTCCGGTGGCTGAGACATACAAATGGCACACATTAGACTCGCCCAATCACCTTGTCTACTCACAGCAAAAGGAAATCTCCCCAAGTAAAACTCTAAAATGCTAACACCCAAACTCCAGACATCTCCGGCGTAACCATCGTAACGACCGTGATTCAAATCGGTGTTGATCCGTTCAGGACTCATGTAAGCGATTGTTCCAACAGACGAATTGCAAGGATCCATAGTCTGTGCTAAGATCCGACTCACTCCGAAATCAGCGATTTTAACGTTCTTCGCTGAGTTTATGAGGAGATTCGAAGGTTTGATGTCACGGTGAACGATATGACGGCGATGAAGATAAGCCAATCCGCTAAGAATCTGCCGCGAAAGATCTGCGAGTTGCTGCTCTTGCCATACATGTGCGCCTTCGAGAGATCCTTGATCCATAAACTCAAGCAAAACCTGGATCTCGCCGTTGTGATCGAACATATTGTGACATTTCACGACGTTAGGGTGATCTACGCTTCGTAAGATCTCGATCTCTCTACAGATATGGCGTCTCACGGTGTCTTCGTGGTTTCCGTAAATCACCTTGAGAGCGAACGGTTTCGAAGTCGGACGGTGGATCACTTTGTAAACCGTTCCTCCAGCGCCGCTTCCGATTCGGATCACTCGTTCTAGCTCGGATAAGCTTTTCGCGGCGGAGATGTTTGTTGAGATGGCGGAGGAAGACGCCGGAGCAGAGACGCCGCC